AGACGTGTATAAGAGACAGCTTATAATCTTTAACATAAACTATATCTCCATGCTCTAACAAAACCTCTCGATTCCCTTTAAAATATTGCATCTGTCTTTCTCTAGTTTTCTCTCTCTCCGTTCTTGCTAACAAACTTAATCTGGTTCTTACCTCACGTCCAAACATTAATTTTGCTGGACTTTCTCCTACACTTGAATGAGGCGCATTTCTATATGTAGCTAAATATTTATTAATTAACGTAGTAGTACTCAACAACGCATTTCGCTTATCTGCTAACGCTCGCAATAAACCTCGCTTAAAACATCCTACTGCATTTTCCGCCAATCCATTCGTAGATGGATGATAAGGAGCTGAAGTCCGATGACTAATACACTATTGTTTTTACAAAAATTCGCAAATTCCTCCGACACAAATTGTCTGCCGTTGTCAGAAAATATCATACGAGGAAGGTCAAAGCGAGCAAAACATTCTCTCAACTTTTCAATCGTACACTCAGAGTTAGTATTAGACATTTCGAACACTTCTGGCCATTTTGTAAACGCGTCAATAAGAATTAAATACGTTTTGCCTTTAAAAGGTCCCGCAAAATTAATATGAATTCTATCGAATGAGAATTCCGCTTCTTGAAATTTAATTAACGGTGACTTGTTAGGATTAATGGCTATTGCTCTACAAGCCTCACAATCTTTAACATAACTCTCTATATCCTTATCTATCTTAGGCCACCAAAAATATTGTCGCGCTACTGCATTCATTTTGGCCATTCCTAAATGCGCTCCGTGAATCTCTTCTAACAACGCCTTTTGAAATTTAAACAGAACGATTACTCTGTATCCCCACATAAGAATACCGTTTTCAATACTGATTTCATTAGCCTTACTCGTATAATCTTTCATTTCTTCGCTAATTGAATCAGGCCATCCATCTCTTACATATAAGTATATTTTACTTAATATTTTATCTTTTCTTAATTCTCCTTTAATTTGTGCTGCATCTATAGGTGTGCGCTCGGCCGTAACAAAATGAAAATAGTCTTCTACTTCCGCTTCTTTAATTTTATAAGGTCTTGGCAATCTAGATAGACCATCTGCTCCACCATTCTTAGTACCTTTAATATGTTCAAATTTATATTGAAATCCACTTAAAAATAAAGCCCATCTTTGCAGTCTGCCAGCTGCCATTTGTGGAATACCTTTATGCTCTCCAAATAAAGCCATTAACGGTTTATGATCTGAACATAAAATAAATTCATTACCCATTAAGTATTGGTAAAATTTGCATATAGCCCAATAAATGGCTAATGCTTCCTTATGTATTACTGAATAATTTTTTTTTGCTTCATGGAGAACTCTAGATGCGAATGAAATAGGCTTTTCGGTACCATCCGGTAAAATATGTAATAAAACGGCTCCTAAGCCTACCTTAGATGCATCACAAACCAATTTTAGCTTCCAATCTTTATTAAAATGAACTAAATTTCTTTCCGAAGCTAACTCTCTTTTAATTTCTTCGAACGCTCTGTCACATTGATGTGTCCACTTAAACGATTTACTGCTCTGGAGCTCATACAA